GGAAAATGCAACGGCCAACGTCTCTCAAAAGAAAAAAATTGCCTAGACTAATAACAGTGAAAGTGCCTGACCTCCAATTTGACTGGAAGTTGGTTGCTGGAAAGTGGCTGTTGGTAGTAGTAGCTGCAGCAGTGGAGATGTCAGCGGCGGCAACAGCAGCAGTAGTAATAGTGGTTGCTGTCGTGACGAGAAGAAGAAGAGAAGTAGGGGCAGGTTGCTGTAGCAGCACTCGCAGCAAATGTAGAGGCTGCAGAGAATGGTTATGATAATGGTGATTATTATAAAGAGAAGGATAGCAGAAGAAGGAAATTGCAATATTAAGAAGAGGAGGCGGAGGAACAGCAGCTGCAAAAGTAGCAACATCAGCAAATGCAGTAGTACCAGCAGCGGAAGAATTATCAGCAGCAGCAGCAGCAGCAGCAGCAGCAGCAGCAGAAGAAGAAGAAGAAGAAGAAGAAGAAGAAGAAGAAGAAGAAGAAGAAGAAGAAGAAGAAGAAGAAGAAGAAGGAAGAGGAGGGAATGACGCAGAAGCATTGGGAGAAAACGAGATTAAAAAAATGAAGAAAAGGAACTGAACTGAAGTTTAAGCCCCACCACGACCGCACAACAAGCGATAAGCATAAGCACCCGGTGACATAAAATGCCATCATTCGGATGAGAATCGCCTGAGTACAATTCCTAAAAACCCCGTTCAATGTTAGGTTATGTTAGGTCCCGTGACGACAGCCAGAGTGGGGCTCTAAAATAACAAAAAAATTGCTTTGCATGTTGGGACGACAACAGATAACAATATATAGTGTAAAAATGAAAGAAGAAGAAGAAGTAAATTATATGCTGGAATTTACGTAAAGAATTTTTTTTTTCAGATGATTACGTTAATTGCAATTCGGTCATGTGGAAATTCGCCCAGTACTGAATAACAAAACGAATAATAATAATAATAATAATAATAATAATAATAATAATAATAATAATAAGAAGAAGAAGAAGAAGAAGAAGAAGAAGAAGAAGAAGAAGAAGAAGAAGAAGAAGAAGAAGAAGAAGAAGAAGAAGAAGAAAAAGAGGAAGAAAGAAGAGCCATATTATACGTCTTAAAGCCACATACTGCAATTATAACTTAACCATAAAACATCAGCCAACAAATTTGCAGCCAGCCAACACAGGACTGCCCAATCCCTTGTAGTCTAAAGGGAGGCAATATCTGATTATCCCTGTCAACTACCCGGATGCTAATGGCTTCAACTCGTCTCTCCAAGTGGTTCTCAGATTACTGTCTTCCTGTTTTGTTCTAACAAGAGTTTTACTCCCATCCTATTTTTTCCTGCTTCGTCTAATGATTAGTGGAGTCATGATTTATCACCATCATTATCAGGGATTTTTATATAAAGTACGGTACCCGTGCTTACTATATGTCTTTTTAAAATCCTACAATTTTCAGACCGTACCGAATGCCGCCACAAAAAAGAGGGATGTTTTTTTTCCCCCCGTCCTTTTAAGGATAACATATTTCGTTATTTGCAGCCCTACTCTGGCTCTTGCCAGAGGCCGCAATTTTGCCTGACCATAAATATGGCCTAAAGGCTGAACGCGGTTTCTGGGACCTCTCCACGGTGATCCTCGCCCACATGGTGGCACATTGTGTCATCGGGTGTTTATCGCTTGTGTGATGTCCTGGTGGGGTAGAAAGTCAGTCAGTCTGTATGTGCACACACGCGCGCGCAGGCACGAACGCACGCACACACACACACACACATACACATAGGGGGATATCTGCATTGATGTTTGATCTTCATAGTGTCTACCTTGCCATTTAGCTGTATATAGTGCATCATCACCTGTGCCTTTTTAGATAAACATTAAAGAATTTTATAGATCCCTTTCTTTGGTGCTCTGAACCAAATCGTTTGTTATATTGACTTTGACAGACCATGCTATTTATACCAATTATCTTTGAGTCCACGCAGAACGAAAATTTCCTTGGGCAGATAATCTCTTTGTGTCTCATTCTTGTGTATTCTCGAATGCTTTTGAAGAAAATATTTAGTTTCTTCTTGCTTTTCACGCTCACCAGGTAAAAAAAAGTTATTACCCCCTGCCTTGGTCAGTTTTTTTTTTCCAACTGCCAAAGTTTTTGGCACCCCTGTGTCTTTCCAGAAGATTGCCAAAACAGAATGATTAACTGCCAGAACAAAGTGAGTGTCGTGTTTTACCCAGTTCCGAAGCTATGGCTTAATACCGATAGATCATCTGACCCCAGAGCTGTTCTGTTGACCGATGGAACAAGGACCCAGAGATGCTTACTGGTACCGACAGTTGCTTGGAGTCCAAAGATGTTGACTTTCCTCTACACTTGCTCGGACTCCAAAGCTGTTGACTTTCCTCTACACTTGCTCGGACTCCAAAGATGTTGACTTTCCTCTACACTTGCTCGGACTTCAAAAGCTGTTGACTTGTACTTGTACTTGTTGCTGGGACCCCAGAGCTGTTAACTTGTACAGATAGTTGCTCGGACCCCAGAGCTGTTAACTTGTACAGATTGTTGCTCGGACCCCAGAGCTGTTAACTTGTACAGATAGTTGCTCGGACCCCAGAGCTGTTAACTTGTACAGATAGTTGCTCGGACCCTAGAGCTGTTGACTTGAACCAATGAATGCTCCCACCTCGGAGCTGTTGAGCTGTACCGAAAGATGCTCCGCACTCCAGCCCTCCACTAAAACGCCACACCTGCCCGGTAACCTAAAAAAGATACCGCTGGAAGATAATTTTGGTCAAGTGTATGAACGTCGACATCTGTGGTTAATAGCTGTGAACGCAGCTTGATAATTCCGACACACATATCTTCGAAGGCTGCTACATATGATTTGGCGCCATACTGTTTCGCGCTAATTCTTTAAGCGGTGTGAGCATCGTACCGGTAAGAATTTGTGCCAAACCTCTGAAGGTAAACTTGATAGCGAAACCACTCAGATGGACGCGTGACTGACGTAGATTGCGTGTTTCGGGTTATTTATAACATACTGAATAGGCGTTTATTAAAACTGGCAAAAACCGTGATAGTATGGCTGGACAATCCCTATTTATGTAAACTTAAAGATACCGTGGTGAGTTTTACAATTCCATGGTACATGGTGATAAGCGACAATGTGATTTGTGTATTTTAGCTGAAAAGTTTTGTTTCATGCTTCGACAGATTGTTTGTTTATGTGAACACCGTAGCGAGGCACTTAGCCAGAAACGGCAGATACAAAATGTGCATTATATTTCTTTTATCCTTTTTTATTTGTATGCACAATGGGGGAAAAAATATTCTTTTGATTTTCCTAGATGTTACCGGTACTAAGTTCCATCTATATTGAATGTTCAATGGCCACCGTCCGTGTCATGGCGCTGATGTCTGTCTTATTTGTTAGGACTTTAAGAGAAAAGACGAACATGTTGTACCAAGAACGGCCATTTTTCTTCATTATACAATGAGTAACTCTTTGGAAACCTTCCCGACGAGATACAGCGAAATATTCCAAGCAATACATTGTGCAATGTATGGTTTGCGTAGCGGCGTCCGTGGCTAAGGCGTTGCGAGTCCGACTCGTAATTCTAACGTTCCGCGATCGAAACCAACTGCTGGCTGCGTGGATTTTTATCACGGTAGGGGGCGTCGCTGGGTGACCCAGCCTAAAATGGGTGCCAGGATGTATGTCCTGGGGAAGTAAAGACGGCCGGCGTAATAATGACCACTTAACCCACTTAGTTCGATTGGTCTGTGAAAATATAGGTGCGTCTCCCATATGCCCGATGCGCCTAAAGGCGTAAAAGGGGATGTTTTCTTTGCTTTAATATGGTCTGCGTCAGCACAATTTAAATTCCTTCCTTACGGAAATAACGTTGTTTTGAATTAAAATATGCTAGAGTCTACAATAATTATTGTCCATGTTCTTGGTTCTTTTGTCTGTCTTATATGTTAGAGTCTACTATGATTATTCTCCATGTCCCAGGTTCTTTTCTCTGTCTTATATGTTAGAGTCTACAATGATTATTATCCATGTTCCAGAGTGTGACTTCTGTCCTATATGTTAAAGTGTACAAAGCTCATTGTCCATGTTCCATGTTCTTTTCTCTGTCTCATATGTTAGAGCGTACAATGATCATTGTCCTTATCGGCTGTGTCTGTCTAATATGTCTAGAATTATCATTGTCCGTCTTGGTTATGTCTTTCTTATATGTTAAAGTCTACAGTAAAAATTATCCATCTTGGTTATGTCTTCTTATATTTTAGAGTGTACATTGACCATTGTTCAGCTCAGTAATGTCTTATTTGTAATATTATATCTTATTTGTTAGAGTCTACAGTGGACATTGTCCATGTCCAAGGTGCTTCCATATATCTATGTTAGTGTCTACAATGACCATTATCAATGCTTAAGGTGCCTTGTCCTTCAATGTTAGAGTCTACATTGACCATTGTCCATGTTCAGTGTGCATACTTCTGTCTTTCTTAGTGTCTACAGTGACAAATGTCCATGTTCAAGGCGTATACTTCTGTCTATGTTAGAGTCTGCATTGACCATTGTACATGTTCTATGTGCTAACTTCTGTCTGTGTTAGAGTCTACAATGACAATTGTCTATGTTCCAGGTGCTTACTTCTGTATATGTCAGAGTCTACAATGACTATTGTCTATGTACCAGGTGTCTACTTCTGTCTATGTCAGTCTACATGGATTATTGTCCATGTTCCAGGTGCCTACTTCTGTCTATATCAGGGTCTACAATGACTATTGTCTATGTTCCAGGCGCTACTTCTGTCTATGTCAGAGTCTACGATGACTATTGTCTATGTTCCAGGTGCCTACTTCTGTCTAAGTCAGAGTCTACACTGATTATTGTCCATGTTCCAGGGGCCTACTTCTGTCTATGTCAGAGTCTAAAATGACTATTGTCTATGATCAAGGTGCCTACCTCTGTCTATGTCAGAGTCTACAATGACTATTGTCTATGTTCCAGGTGCATACTTCTGTCTGAACATGATCATGATCACGATGTCGGAAATCCTGGCTTGTGTGGTGGCCAACATGCATTTCCGGGGCGTCAGGATCAACAGGGTGCCTCAGTGTTTGAGACTGGTAAGTTTGTTACTTCAGTGTTTGAGACTGGTAAGTTTGGTACTTCAGTGTTTGAGACTGGTAAGTTTGTTACTTCAGTGTTTGAGACTGGTAAGTTTGGTACTTCTATGTTTGAGGCTGGTAAGTTTGGTACTTCTATGTTTGAGACTGGTAAGTTTGTTACTTCAGTGTTTGAGACTGGTAAGTTTGTTACTTCAGTGTTTGAGGCTGGTAAGTTTGTTACTTCAGTGTTTGAGACTGGTAAGTTTGTTACTTCAGTGTTTGAGACTGGTAAGTTTGTTACTTCAGTGTTTGAGACTGGTAAGTTTGGTACTTCTATGTTTGAGGCTGGTAAGTTTGGTACTTCTATGTTTGAGACTGGTAAGTTTGTTACTTCAGTGTTTGAGACTGGTAAGTTTGTTACTTCAGTGTTTGAGACTGGTAAGTTTGGTACTTCTATGTTTGAGGCTGGTAAGTTTGGTACTTCTATGTTTGAGACTGGTAAGTTTGTTACTTCAGTGTTTGAGACTGGTAAGTTTGTTACTTCAGTGTTTGAGGCTGGTAAGTTTGTTACTTCAGTGTTTGAGACTGGTAAGTTTGTTACTTCAGTGTTTGAGACTGGTAAGTTTGTTACTTCAGTGTTTGAGACTGGTAAGTTTGTTACTTCAGTGTTTGAGGCTGGTAAGTTTGTTACTTCAGTGTTTGAGACTGGTAAGTTTGTTACTTCAGTGTTTGAGACTGGTAAGTTTGTTACTTCAGTGTTTGAGACTGGTAAGTTTGTTACTTCAGTGTTTGAGACTGGTAAGTTTGTTACTTCAGTGTTTGAGACTGGTAAGTTTGTTACTTCAGTGTTTGAGACTGGTAAGTTTGTTACTTCAGTGTTTGAGGCTGGTAAGTTTGGTACTTCTATGTTTGAGACTGGTAAGTTTGGTACTTCAGTGTTTGAGACTGGTAAGTTTGTTACTTCAGTGTTTGAGACTGGTAAGTTTGTTAGTTCAGTGTTTGAGACTGGTAAGTTTGGTACTTCAGTGTTTGAGGCTGGTAAGTTTGGTACTTCAGTGTTTGAGACTGGTAAGTTTGGAACATTGTCGTCTGAAACTGGTGAGTTTTGTACTTTGATGTTTGAGACTGGTAAGTTTGGTACTTCGATGTTTGAGACTGGTAAGTTTGGTACTTCGATGTTTGAGGCTGGTAAGTTTGGTACATTGTCGTCTGAAACTGGTAAGTTTTGTACTTCGATGTTTGAGACTGGTAAGTTTGGTACTTCGGCGTTTGAGGCTGGTAAGTTTGTTACTTCGTTATTTGAAACATTTAAGTTTGGTATTTCGGTGATTAAGACTTGATAGTTGTACATATTGTTAGGAAGGTCTGAAGTCTGTAGACTGGTATATGTATCTTTATTCGTTGTAAAATTACTGTTTTTGTAGTAATCACTAATCAGCACATCGGTTGTTGTTTTTTTTTAAAAATAATTTATTGATAAAACTTGTTTATATTCCACGCATTTTCTTTCATTTAAAATTAAAGTTAAATAAAGTTACAGTCGGTAGGATTTGTTTCTTTGCACCAGATTTGATTCCACCTGTCTCAGTCTCTCTTCACAGAACAGCTAGCCGGCTGCCGAACTTCATAGCTCCACTGACGATCCTCAGTGGTCTTCGGGAAATTGCACTCTTGGACAGAATTATGTGTTCTTAAAACGAACTCACGACCCTAGGAGCGTGAGACAATCGGCTTACCCACTTCACCACGGAAACTAGGGTCATTCTTATTTGTCTCATTAAAAAATTTCACCCTTCATGTCCGTAATTTCCCCTACTAGGTATTGTTGGTTCCATGTTGACTTTAGTGTTTACCGGATCTCATGTCTTCTCCGTTGAGGATTCTGGTAAGTTGTTTTTATTATTCTTTGGATAGATTATGATCGAAACTCTCGGTTGCATATGTGCGCATATTTTCCATTCCTTCCGTTGTACCCTCTTGTCACATTTTATGCTGTATGTGTGACTTCTAGATAAGTATGCAGATTCATAGACACGGATGCATGTTTTTGGATAGATACGATTAACTTGCTCATAATTTAATGCTCTCCAATTACTGCTCCTAGTTTATGATTGGGTTTATGGCCCGAGTATTGAGGATACAAGACAAGATTCTGGAGTCGGACAGTCCACCTATTGTCAGCAGTCATCCCAAAAAGAGGTGGACAGTCGGTCGGGTAGGTTTAGACATTTTACGCCCATCATTTGGTTAGGATGTTTTTTCTTTTTCTTTTTATTCTCCTCCTCCTCATCTTTCTTCTTCTTCTTCTTCTTCTTCTTCTTCTTCTTCTTCTTCTTCTTCTTCTTCTTCTTCTTCTTCTTCTTCTTCTTCTTCTTCTTATTTTTCTTCTTCTTCTTCTT